TGTGAAAGCTGTCTTTTCTATAGAATCTGGGTGGACTTCGATTTGGTGGAAACCCTGTGCCAAATCAAGGGTGGTAAAGTATGAACAGCGTCCTAGGTTGTCAAGAATTTCGTCAATGCGGGGAAGAGGGTATTTATCTTCGATTGTGTTTTCGTTAAGACGTCTATAGTCGATGACCATACGGAATTTTCTTTTACCACTTGCGTCAAGTTTTTTCGCAACTATCCATACAGGGGCTGAGTAGGGACTTATAGAAGGGCGGATGACATTGTTCTGTAGTAATTTATTGATTTGGTCGGAAATTTCAGGTAGCATTGATTTTGGGTGTCGATAAGAGCGGGTGAAGATTGGTGTTTCATCTTTAGTTCGAATAACATGTTTTACAGAAGTAGTAACGGTTAAAGGAGAATTTTCTGTATGAAAAATATCTTTAAATCGATGACAAAGATGGAGGATCTTTTCTTTCTCTTCTGCATTCAAATGGTCTGTCCGTAACAAATTAAGATCAAAATAATTGTCGCCAGACGATGGGGGAGTGATTTCTTCGAAATCTGAAATGGATGTGGCGGAGATTGGTTGTGAGAAGTTGATTTCAACATTGTTGGGACGTGGAATTTCTATGAATCCGTCTTCAGCTACATGAATTGATGCTGGAACTATTACTTGATTTTCATGTATAATATCAGAAATGACAACTTCGCCATTATTAATGGAGACCGGAATACGTAGTCGTTTATTACTACGGTAAATTATCTTAAATGGAATAGAGATCTGTAATTTTGGAATAGAAAATACATGTGTTTCGTAATCAATATTGGCTCCTAGTTGATCGAGTTCACCTGTACCTAAAAGTACATCGAAATCGTCATGCCAGTCGGCAATTCTAATTGTAAGGGCTTGCTGTATACCAATTTCTTCGAACAAAGGGTAGTAAAGATTGCGTGTATATGTTTTTGGGGTTTTCATCGATATGAGGGTAAAAGGTTCATAGAATTCATATTTCGAGTCGAAATTTTGAGCAGCTCTGGGAGTAATTACTGTATCAGAGCCACCGAAGTCGATGAGAACTTTTAATTTGGAATGTGGAAGGTAGAAGTAAGGAAGTTTCGTTGCTTTGGAAAAATTATTCAACTGAATGATTCTATGTTGGGTGCGGGTTCCATTGAGGCTGGTTCTAGAAAATTTTCCTCAGGAGAATCAAAGTTTTCGTAGCAATCTGTCTCAGGTATACAGTCTGCTTCGTTATAAGGTAAACTAGGCGGGGACTCGGGTTCACATTCAACATTATGATGGAACGTGCGGTAAGAGGACATAGACATTGGGGTAGGTTTGGAATTTGAAGATCTCTGGGAATGAATACCAGACATGGGAGTTGGTTTATATTGGTTTCGTTGGTCTTGTGAATTATTAGGCCTAGACGATGGACCAAAGACTTGACGATTTGTCGGAAAAGATTGTCTCTGTTGGATGGGCTTATTTATATCGCCAAAAGGTCTAGGGTGCATAGAATTTTGGTTGAAAGATTGATTAGACGAATTGGGCTGATTAAAATTACGATGGTATTGGTTATTGGGATTATTGGGTTTGTTCGAAGTATTGAAGTTGTTTGGATTGGGACGAGGTTGAGGTTTTTGGTAATCGCGGGGGTGATTCGTGGATTTCAAGTAAGACATGTATTGTTGTTGCTGTCTGTGATTGTCAAGAGAGATACACTTTTGGAGAGCATCATCTAAAGTATTCAATTCGAAATGAGAAAGATGGTCACAATAAGGGTTGTTGATGCCTGTGCAGAAAGTTCTTAGAGCTTGTTTCCGGAAAAATGAAGCCTTGAACTCTACTGCCTGGGCATTACTTTCACTTAATAAAACATGTTGTAAAAGGTCATTCAGTGCCAAGGTTATACGATGATGATAATCTTGGTAAGTCTCTGAGCGTTTCTGAACAGTTGTAGTTAATTGAGTTAACAAAATTTCTTCATTACGGTGGTCACCGTATTTTTGTAATAAAAGTGGTTTAATATCTGGCCACGAATTTTTATTATGAATGTTCAGAAAATCTCGAGCTTCACCTTTTACTTTGGATAAAATATGTGCATTAATAATATACAATTGTACTGCATCAGCTCCTTGTTGGTTGAAAAATGTGATTAAATTATCTACAGAGCTTATAAATGTAGAAAGATTATCTCCAACTTTAAATTCAGGAAGAGTATTACACAAGTTATTAACATCAGAGTTAGATATAACCATTTTTGTAGATTGTTCGAAAGTATTAGATGGGTTATCAACAATATCGTCTTCTGACCTCTTTGAATGTTTACTGTAGGGTTGAAATCTAGATTTGTTTTGCGACTTGTGTGAAAAATTAACTATAGCTTGAAATGAATCTTGAGGGTACTCAGAACTCATATGAAAAGGAAATGGACTTACAGGATGAGAAGAATCGCACTGATTTTCATCGCCAGTATGGTCCTCCAATTTCTCGGTGTTTCTTCGTGACCCCAGGTAGAAATCTGCCAAATCGTTAAGACGAACCGATGATCCTTCTTGGGTGGATGCCGTGCAGATATCCTGTTCGCAGCGCCAATTATGTTTCTCAGCCACAACAAGGAGTTTTTAAAAAATATTTATTTTGTAGACATGAACGTGTTACAAGTTGGAATGATAATGAATTAAAATATAAAAGGAAAATAGTTTTAATAAAGGTTTCTGCTGTCGTTGCGACTGGCGGTGTCGTCTTGCTGACGCCTCGGGTTCTTGACCTATAACGCGCGAGAAGCGTGCAATACGTGTTTTAGAAAGAGGTAGAAGCTCTTCGTTGTCTAGCAACCAGAGTAAGAGGTTACGGATGCCATCGGCGCACTCTTTGTAACACATATTGCACGCTTCTCTCTTGTACACATTATGTCAGCTAAATTTGAACCTCACCGTTTATCAGTGTTACTAGCTTTACCGATGTTTCGGTAGATCTACCGATTTGAGTCTTATTCTGCGGAACTACCGATTTTAATGCGAATCTACCGAAATTTTACTCAAATTCTTGAATAGTATACTTCTGATATACCGCTACCCTTTTCAATTTATAATCACCTGCAAGTTTTAGCTTTTCAGTTTACCGTCTACCAATAAATTTTACGATCTATTGAAAACTCTCTCACAAATCTACCGAACACAGGTCGATTATACCTAGCAACACTGATCTATATCAATGGCTTTTGCAGTTTCTCCTGAAGTGGATAAACTAGTTTTTCCGGTCTGATCTTTAAGTGTTCACCTTTTTGGTTAAAACGCTAGCCGATACTTACTCAAAGTAAAAAAAAGTGTTCCTATGGCGATTCAATTGCCAATACCACATTTTTATTGAACAATCCTTTTTCCTGGGTGTCTTAATAACCACGTTGTATTTATGTGTTTTCTACTATTTTATACAAAAAACTTGGTTAAGGGTTACATGTTAGGAAATATAAAAATATATGTACATTTCTGGCGAGTGATATGTTTTCAATAAATATTTTTTAACATGATGTTTTATTTTTTTTTTCACAGAACGTAATTTTGTCTGGCCTAGTTGTCAAACATGGTATGAAAAGCTAAACTGTACGCGAGTACAAATACAGCGTATGGTTGGACAACATGTTTGAGAAAACATTAATACAACCCAACAACCATTTTGGAGCCGGAGAAGTAAAGACTGAATTAGAATATTTGTCATGCACTGATCTCAAAAAGGTATATTTTTTCGTAGCAGCTCTATTGTTCGAAAGAGAAATGCAAAATATGCCGTTTTGATCCCGAAGACAATATGAATAAATTATAGTTGAAAAAACTAAAGTACTACAAGTAGAGAACAATTTTCAAGTAAATGAGAATTTGTGTTACTGCAATAAAAAGTCCAACAATCAAGAATGACTAACAATCAATATAAAATTTAAGATATTAACAAAAATTCAATTATAGTGAAAAGCGCGGGTGCGTCATATTAGATGTTAGAATTATTTAGTTCCTATTTAAAAAATTGGAGTTATTATGAAAACATAGTAAATTGCACCAAACTTTTTTACACAATGATTGAATGTTTTGTTAATATCTTAATTTTTGTATTGATCTTATTCCAAATTAATTAGTCTTACTTGATTGTTGGACTTTGTAGCACAAGCTGTTTTTTGAACTATAAATTATTTTCTGAATTTATAGTCTCAAAACTACAACAAAAGGATCTAGAAGAGCTCGATTTTTGGTATATCTTATATTTAATAAATCTAAATTTACTTTCAATTTTTTTCAAATTTCGAGACTTCCAATTTTTTTTTAAAAATTTACAAATCTTCCAGTTATTATCCGAATTTTCTAATTCAATTTTTGTTACAGATAAGACTATTTTTTTATTCTCAAATTCGATTTTTTTTCAAGATCATTGTATGGTCACCCCTGTGCAGATTTTCATTTTAATCAGACTTCTTGAAATTGATGAAAATTAGGTTGAAAGATTGTGTTACAGGTACATACAGGTCAAGCTAATAAAGGCGCGTTGAAAAAAGGAAATTCTGATGTTGCCAAAGTTTCTAAAGTTCCTTCAAACGTCCATTAACAAAATCATTTAGGATATATTTTTATTGTAAACCTCTGTTTATCAATTGCTTATAAATGACTTATCATGTCAGACGTTTCCAATAACACACTCCCCTACAATGCATTGAGATTTTTAATGGGTATTTGAAGTATCTTTAAGAACTTTGGCAATATCAAATTTTTCATTTTTTATACTGTTTTTCGGGGTCAAAAATTGGATATTTTGCACTTTTCAAAATAACTAATCGGTCATGTCTCGAAAACTAGAGCATCTACGGGAAAATGAAAGACATTTTTTATATCAACGCATCAGAAATATTCAGAATCAAGTGTTAATTCGTCGACACCATTTTTTTCAATTTGTTTGGCTATAATCAACGCCATCAAGCAATATACCGATAATGTCAAACTAGATGGGAATATAAACACTCGTTTCTACTAAATTTATATATTTATTACTCTGAAATGATTCAACATCAACATGTAAATATATATTTTCAGCAACTAAACCTACTTTTGATTTACATTTGTGGGTAAATACAGAAAGTCTACTATGAAATAAAATACAAAAAATAAAAAAATATTCCAAGATGAAGAACCAAACTAAGCGACTATTTACGTGGAATTCTCACATAACTACTACACATACAGTATAGCTGTTTTATAAAAGTGGACCTGATCCAACCCTGCTAGCAGAAAGCTCAACTCAAAAGATTTTTAGAGAAATCCTTCGGAGGTCCAGAAATAAAAAGCGAGCTCTGTGGCCGCGTCCTACGTACAAAAACCAGAGAAAGAAATCTGATCAACTCACAAAGTGGCGGGAAAGGGACTAAACAACTCAAATCTATACATATGCGCACCATCACCCTCATAGGTTAAATATTACGCATACAAGTCCACTATCCTCTACCTACTTTGAAAGCTTTTTCAGTAATTCTCACGAAATCTTGTTCCGCCACCACGAAAACAGAACAAGTGGCGACTCGAAGTCTGTGAACTTAAAGACAGGAGCGAACAACGTAAAATAAAGATAATAAAACGAAAACGGACTGAACTGCGGTTTTAGACTGACGTTATGCGTCTTGACATAATGGGACTCCTTTTTAGGAAAACCGTTTCGCTGCATCTTTATCACCCCCAGATCCGAATAAACTTTAACAACCATAAACAAAATATCGTAATAAACAAAAAGATTCAACAAAAATAATTTTGTAACGGCGCAACGCCCCTCCGCGGCATCTGATGGTCTATTTTTGACGTAAGTGCGGTACAAGTGACAGACGAGCTTGGCGGTGTCCAATGGGGAGCCGGGTTTGAAGGGTAAGGGGAGGGGGTTAAAGGCTGAAGGCGAATGTGTGGTGACAAATAGGGAGAGAAAGAAGGTCTTGTTAGCTGCGGCGTTGCGCAACTCGACCTCACACCCTCAGCTCGGAAAACGACAATAGAAAGTGTAGATCAGATCGTAGTTCTTGAAGTTGCACAGCTGGATGTCGCGACGTTGCCATTTACCGATGTGGTTCAGGAGCAGCAGCTCCTTTGATGTGTCTTTTGTCGGGGATGCCTGCGAAAAAAAAACATATTAGGGCCTAATGCATCGTAGTAACATCATTTAAAGCCTCTTCATTATAGTTTTTACACTTGGGAGAGGCAGAAGAGTTGACACATGTTTATCTCAGGCCGTGGTTATACTCAGAGGTGTCAGGTGGTACGCGACTGGCTATACCACTTGTATCTGGTTTCAATGTATCCGTTTATACTTGACCTCGGAGGCGCAATCCTTTGGGCAATTTATTTTGTTTTCTACCATATGAAACAAACTAATGCCATATACCAACTTCAACTTATGCAGGATTACAGGATAAGTCGACCTAGATGCGTTAAGAGCGTGTAGTATCAATCATTTCTGACTGATTTCACTATGAAACATCCTAACAACCTAACCGTTTTCGAGATATTCGAGTTTTAATTTTTTTTATTAAAAAATGTTTCGTTTATTGAAGTAGATATTTTGAAATATGTGACTGTTGTTATTATTATTGTTTAATTTTTACATGTAGAATAAGATGCTTTATGACCTGAATAACCAAAATTGTCCGTAAGTTAACTAAATATTTCGTTGTAGACGATTGAAAAATGAAAAAGTCAGTTCAAATTTAAAAAGTTTAATTTTCTTCACAGGATATTTCAAAAAAGGTATAACATTCTAGGGTTTTATTTAAAATCATAGGCTACATGGGAGGTAAAAATAATGGCACTTATTTAATCTAATTTATTCTTTGACCTTTGGGCTCGCTGTACGAGGCTCTTCATGTGCCCCACACAAAAATCCATGGCGGTTATGTTCGGACTTCTGGCTGACCAAAGTAAAGGCCCACCTCGTCCAATCGATTTGTTAGGATAATTTGTGTCCAGCCATTCTCTAACACTTGCATGTGCATGGCAGCCATCATGCTGAACCACAAATTTCCAAATATCTACTTCAATAGCCGAAAAATCGGCCATTTTTATAAACAAATTAAAACTCAAATATCTCGAAAGCGGTTAGGTTTGTGGTAGGATGTTTCATAGTGAAATCAGTTAGAAATGATGGATATTACACGGATCTAGGTCGACATATCATTTAACCCTGTATACCTTATTGAAACGCTTTAGACAAATAAATATTGATTCATCAAAGGATTTTACAATACCAAATCCAAGGACATTATTCGATATAATCCAGTAATGGGTGGCAGCAGAAAGAAAACCACAAATTCAAATAGCAATTTGACAATTGAATCCAAGATTATATTTGCGAAAGAGATTTTTCTGTGTTCCATCCTGCAAGTGAATGGGGTTTTGTAATTTATTTATAATCTGTTTTCTTCAAATCACATAACACAAAAATTAAAACACGTTACTTGCAGTATTCTTGAAAATAATTATTAGAACTCATACACCCGTGTTCGCCCTATTTAGTTACGCACACCTCATAAGAGATGGCGCCACTAAGGTCAGTTTTTTTAGATTGGTCTTCCGTTCTACATGGACGAACCAGTAAACTAATAGTAGTACATCTTACCTGATTGGCAAAAATAGTAACGGTGAATTTCCCAGGATTAAACGTATCCAATACCTTCTGGATAATTTCTCTATAAGAGCTGGAAGGAATGTTTGTCTCAAAACTAACATACGAAAAATCAGGTTCTGGGGTGATATGGATAGTCATGTAGCAACCCTATCAAATAAAAAAAAGAACACATGTTATTACAAGAGTCAAATGTCTTAGGGTATATCAAGCTTGCAATGGTTGCGTTTATGAATATTATGGATACATATGTTGCAGTGAAGTAGCGTTATCTTCAATCAAGTGTAAACAAAATATATCGGAACTCGGAAGCAGTATGTTTCCTTTATCTCCAACATTTAATTTGATAAGATTTAAAAGGTGTAAGCCTAGCTTAGTAAAATAGCATAATAGCTTATGGTCAATAATGTTTTGATTTATAGACTATTTCACTTTGCTTAACGCAAACTTTGCTTTTACCTTTTAAATTTTGGTATTTTTGGTGTAATCTTTTGCAATACAATAAAATGTAAATGTCTGGATCATTATGAAACAACCCAAATACTTTTGGATGATCTTTGTCCCCAGAAGAATTATTATCAGCAAAATTAAATAAAAAATGCTTTTTAATTCATCTAGAATATACTTGATTGAAGATCACGATCTTTAATGATGTAGCCTTCAAATGGTATTACGTCATGATATCACTATAAAACATTGTAACATAATTGAATATACTGATAAGGATGTTTTTTGCATCGGCATGGATTTATCCCATGATTCATATGATAATTATTATTTTATCAGCAACAAAGATATAACATTCTAGATTACTACTTTATTCTAGTGATTACTGATACTTCCTATACTGCAAATTGTTATGAAATAACGTATGATACCTGGTGTACCAAACAATTTAATGATTGGGCTCTGAAATTTAAATATTGTATTGTTTCAGTGTTTCGTGTTACACTACATTTTACTATGTGTTTCTTCTATATGAAACGTTTTCGTTAAAATACTGCCAATACAAACAAATGTTACATGAAAGAATATTTTTATAACGAAATACCTCACACCAATATTAGTAATGCACTACCGATTTTCAAAACCTACTAGCAAGCAACTAGCAATAGTTTTAGAAACAAGTATTTGCATATGTAAAAAATGCAGGATATCATCAATAAAATCGGGACTATCTTGGAGGGATTACCCAACTCAATTTATTCTCATAATAGATTCATATGCTCCCAATCCAGGTAATTCTATGCACCTATTAGCCATATTTCACACATCATGGAAGTCTCCGTACATAAGAATGATAGAGAACTGTTTTCGATCCCCGCTCTCCTGCTATATCACCTCACCGCCAGCCGTACCGGTCAGGCTGACTAATCTATTCGTACTGAAGCGCAGAAAACATATAATACACGGAATGAACGATAACTCGCTTCAACGATGCCGCGCAGATGTAGAAAGGGTGAACGTTGCCAGATGGACAGTAACTACTGGTAGAGCAGGGAAAGAATGTTTATGTCTAATTGTACGGGCTTGTTGGACTGACTTGTTTATTTAATTTTTTTTTATAGAACATGTTCGTGCCTAAATTTTTTCTCAGCGGATTTAAATTGCGCTGAGCTTAATTATTTTTGAACTGTTAAAGGCGTTGGCGAGTTAACCTACTTGATGCCATCCTTTATATATATATATATATATAACTAGACCAGTTAGGTGAAAAATTAAAGGTTCCGCCTTTTGTTGGGTACTTCGACAAAATTTAAGCAAAGAGGACTCTTTATACTTTTTTAATTCTCTCTAGCTTTCAATGGACTTTGCCATCATCATCAGGAGAGTAGTTTGTGAGGATGCTGCTAATTGTTGTTTACGTATAGGATGAGGGAAACGCCCAGTAACATGGTGAAAGCTGGATAGATGGTACAATGGTCAGAATTATATAAAATATGACAAGAACAAGTTAAAAACAGATTAAATTTTTTTTAAAAAAAACATGAAAGCATTACATCGTGAAGCCACTTGATGATTGCACAAAATGGTGGTCATGGAACAACAAAAGGCGGAAGCTTTAATTTTTCATATATACAAATATATATGTATATTATGAAATTTTCTCCAAAGTTGACCGATTTCACGTAGATAAGCAATTTAACGTTCTAAAAATCCTAAACATGATCATTTTCAATGCTTTTCGAGATATACATTTGATAAACGTATTCTATCTGATGATAGCCAACCATATAGTGATAGTGTATTTTAGCAACAACAAAACAACAACAAAAAATCGGAGATGAAATGAGATACCATAGCGTCATCTATAAAAATTTGTCACATGTGGCCAAAACGCCGTACAATAAACAGAAATTAAAACATGTGTGGTTTGATTCGGCCAGACAATGGAGTCATACAGCCGGGTTCCTCCTCTCCGCAATAATTCAAAATGTTGGTTTCTCTTATATGGCGCTGTAGCCAATTATATGCTCAGTTTGCTGCTGCACCCTCATAGATAGAAATAGCCTTAATAAAAAATAACGCAAAAACGGTCAATTTTAAACTTACTACATTTCTTGTAATTTGTTTAACAACATTGTTTACGCCACGCACCGCGTTAACGCCTGGCGACCTCATCTACCAAACGTAATTATGAACAAAATCAAGATGGAACATTTCTCATACGAATGCGAAAGTTTCGCACTGCCTCGTCTAGAAAGGAATATTGGATGTTAGCAATTTTTATCTATCAACACGAAGTCGGTTAAATCGGCACGGGTATCATGTAAAAAACGTGTCAAACGCCAAAAAAAAACCTATAAGATGTCAACTTACAGACTAGGTAGTTTTTAGAGCGCAAACAGTCATTCCTCGTTTGCTCACTAGGATCGTTGTGAACGTCCATCTATGGAGGAATCACTCAACTAAACTACGCATTATTGGTTGCATAGTTTTGTGAGGCTGATCGATCCGGGTCTGTAGTTTTTATCTCTGAGAAGAAAGTTGGTTGAATGGCATGATGGCATCTGGATGATTATGTGTATTGGTCTGCATGTGTGTGAAATCAGTGATATTTGCTGTGTGAGAAAATCATTACTAAATATGCCGAATATGACGGGTTATTTATATGTTGTGCTTTCTGAAGAGAGGTTATGTTCAAAGTTATAAATTACGAAAAACTGAGGAGAATTACAGGAAATCATCACCGCGCCCGCGTTGTGTGTAATTACTGTTAGCATGCATATGGCTTGTAATTCGACAGTGTACAGTGAATATAATTATTTCTTATCTCTCTCATTTTTGAAATTCAGCAAATTTGTATATGTAATTTCCATAATGGATAAGAAAAACTGGATGCACAACTAATTTCTAGCTTTGAATCTCAATTTAGTGTATTTGAGACAAGAACCCAATGTTATTATCATCAACAAATACAACTTACAGCTTAGACCTCCAGTAATGCCATCTCAGAAGCAGATTTTACATCACATCAAAGCCAAAGATTGATAACCAGCCTCATGACGTTTAGGCAACACGTACAACTAAGTGCTAAGTTGACATCTTGTAGAATAACCTACATAATGTCAAAGAAAACCAGCATAATGTTAAAAAAATCGGCATAATGTCACTTTTCAAGATACGTGATACCCGTGAGGGTTGGCGCATTTAGGTGATCAAGAAAATGATACTTGCAAAGTTTCAGAATTCCGAGTTTTTCCAGAGAGAGATGAAAGAAACCAAATTTTCCCAAAATAATTTCTATTTTTTCCTGACTTTGCTTGAAATACGATTTCAAAATAAAAGGTACATTACCATGGCCACTATTTCTCATCTACAAGATGCCACAGTTAGAATTTTAGTATGACATTTCGTCTCTTGTCCAGTCACCAACTTATTATTTCTTATAGACACTATATTGGATTTTTGCGCAGGTCTCATGTAACAAAATCACTGTATGGAGAAAATTGACTTTAAACATTTTTTATTGGAACCTTTTACTTTATTGAAATTTTACATATTTAGTTTAGTTAGTTTGATATTATCTTGTTTCTGCAACAAAGTAATCACAGAATGAAAGAATCACTCCTTAAGGTTCGTTTAATGCAAAAAAGCAAATATTTTAAAAATGATACATGACACCTTTATCCACTTGTGTCTTAATATCAACATTCCTTTAGTTTTTATAAAATATGCCTCAGCGAACATGGATTGATATTTTGATATTATAGAACTTCAAATGTCTAAAAAACTAATATTTGTAGATTTAGTCTTTACTCATCGAATACAGAAAACCATAGTGCTAAAACCTTTTCATATTATGGAAGGATAGTATTGAAAACAAAGAAAACGGTATTATTTTATGTAACTAACTGATAGAAACATAGTACTGTAAATAAAAGCCTCGACGATGTTAGTTTTATGAACTCAATTCATATCCGTCATATCTAAACCGATGCAGACATGTTGCATTCAAATAAAATTAATTTACGTCTGAACCAAAGCTTACGTGCCATCTAGAGCGTCTCTATCGTGCTAAAATAACGCTTGTTAAAGTCGATAAATGAACAAATTATTTGAATGTCCCTTAAACACGCTTCTGTCAAACTGAATCACTCGTGATTTAATCAGATACACATATGATAAACTGTAATTTTCAATGCCAATTAGAAAAATATTAGTTTTTTGAAATAACTTCGGTTTGACAATGACAATGTACGAAATAGTTAGCCAAATGCACAACTTTGCTCCCATTGAACGAATTCGTATCTCTTCGTCGTTTTCGATATTCCTGCGTTTTTTACATTACGTGTTTTGGACTATACACGCGCATCTAGTCTTATTTTTCTAATCGATCTACTGGTTAATGAAAATGAAAATGACGTTTTACCTCGTCAGAGCTAATGTTTGATTTTGGTAATGTGTCTAATGTTCAAGTTTTCTGTTTACTTACGTCGGGGCTGTTAGCAACGATCTAGTGTGCGTGGAAAAGATATGATACGAGTTAAATATATCATACAAGCACTATACTATCAATATACAGAGAATTCCAAATATGACAATCGAGTTAATGTGTTCGAGACAGAAGCGCGAGAAGCATTCAATACGTATGTTAGACAAAGTCAGCCGATGGCGACGCGGCAAGCTGCGTCCGTGGTCTTTTCACTCAGTTTGCTAGGCAATGTGGTGCTTCTATCTCTTTTTAACATACGTATTGCTCGCTTCTCTTTCGTACACGTTACGACGTCAGTGGTATATGGATGTCTCTGTATAAACTTATGTTATGTGATGATTTTATATGGAAACTGTAAAATAATGATTCTCGACTGATGACAATGGCAACATGCGAAAAAAGTGATACACCGTTCAACTTACATTTTTGGTTACTCCATTCATTGAATATCCGCATGGTTCAAATAGAAAATCATCTATTACCATATTTGGAATGATTTTATCGATACCAGACTTCTGCAACAGAAAAAATGAAATAAGTTATACACATTCCAAACTAAGTATTTAGAGCTGTAGTCAATACTTGAGCGTCCCTTAAGGTCTTCCTTGAGTGTCCCTCAAGAGAACAACTCACTTATACCCTATTTCACGAATATCCATCACGCTTTGACGTCTAATGAGGTGAACAGCTGATGAGCAAGTGACATTTTTGTGTTAGTCCACAACGTTGCCAATAATGGATCGGATATAAATCTAGTAAAACTTGTTATGGCGTTTTATTTTTTGTATGTAAATGAACTTTTTTAACTAAAAGAGCTGCTAGCAAGTACAAAATGAATCTGTAGCGTACAAAAAAACAAACAAAAATTCGGGTCTGTCTACCTGGCGTTGACGGATCCGTCAGAATGATGTGTCTTGTGCCGATATGGGGAAGTTTGAGATATTACTAGATAAATCAGCTGTCATTCTACCGTGATGGATACTCCTGAAATAGGATATATGTATGTTCGGCTACGTATTCCGTGATTAATTGAACCGTAGTCGAAAAACAGCAGTTACAGTTCGAATGACTCAACCTGTTTGTTTTTGAAATTACAACAGATAAGATCGAAACTATACTTTAGCAAAACGTGATAATCATTTTATGGAACATGACTACCTCATCCAGATGTCGTCTCATAATACTGAGACACAATATTTTCTTATCTCAGGTATGTATACTAACGATACCATAATAAGGTCCTCGATTTGTTTACGTTTTGTTACCATCCAAGGTGAGATGTTTTCACTTAGTCCATTTTCTGAATACGATCTGTTTCCGTCTCTGTGATCATAAACATTGATTAAGGCATTCTACCTGAATATAGCCAATCTAATAATATATTCTCGCGTCCAAAAAATTATCCAAGGTGAAATGAGATACCGTAGCGTCATCTATGAGAATTTGTCTTAGCTAGGCTTCTCCGCTCCGAACTTATTTGATGCTACAGAAAAGAAGACAAGACATTTTAATAAAAAATCAGAAACTGAAAATAAAACTATCAATTACTAGATAAATCTTCAAAATTAATAAAAGTAGTAAAGTAACACATCTGTGGAAGATATTATGCTGCGGCCAGATGTAAGAAAAAAAAGTTGAGCCATTTGTAGTTAACCCAAAAGACAAGAACAAAAGTGGCACTGAACCAAAAAATGTTGAAATGCAAAAATTAAATCCTGCAGACATAGTAGTATCTGTTAATAAAATAACCCAATCAAAAAATGATGACATCAATTTCACATTCAAAAAACGACTTGTAATTCCATTATACAATACTACATTATTCCGTCGGTCATTTATATATAATTCAATTAAAATATACAATGACGTATCTGATAACCTCAAAGCGCTTTCTATAGCTAACTTTAAGAGCAGTGTGAAAAAGAGGTTACTTGGTTATAGTTATAACAGGTGATTTTTTAAGAGGTATAGGATTTGATTTTCAAAAAAAAACACAAAAAATTTGAAAAAACGATTAAATCTTTATTTGAGTCGATAGAACGGTCGATATAATTTAATGTTTAAAGATTATTTCATGTAAATGTTGGCCGCGGCTCCGCTTTAGATGGCCCGTGCACAAGGTCCAATTTTGGCACACTCTCTCCAACATATCGGCCGGTATCTCACGAATAAATGCTTCAATATTGGCTTCCAGTGCATCAATCGTTGCTGGTTTATCCCTGTAGACATTAGCCTTAACATGGCCCCACAAGAAATAGTCCAACGGCGTTAAATCACAAGATCTAGGCGGCCAATTGACGGGCCCCAAACGTGAGATAAACTGTTCACCGAACTCGCCTCTCAATAGGGCCATTGTTTCGTGTCCGGTGTGGCATGTGGCACCGTCAGCCAAGTCCAGCTCTTCCATTTAGCGCTCGCCATTCACAGTTACGTTCCGGCCATTCTCGTCTTTGAAGAAGTACGGCCCGATGATGCCACCGGCCTACAATCCACACCAAACAGTGCTTTTTTTCGGGATGCATTGGTAGCTCTTGCAATGCTTCTGGCTAGTCTTCACTCCAGATGCGGCAATTTTGCTTGTTAACGTACCCATTCAACCAGAAATGAGCTTCGTCGCTGAACACAATTTTTCGATAAAAATGTGGATCTTCCTCCAATTTTTCCAGCGCCCATTCACCAAATTGGAAGGGGTGGGAGGTCGTGTAGCTTCAATTCTTGCACCAGCTGTATCTTATAAGGTTTTACACCCAAATCCTTTCGCACAATTTTCCACGTAGTGGAGTAACAGAGGCCCAATTGCTGCGAACGGCGGCGAATCGACATTTCACGGTCATCACTAACACTGGCGGATACAGCCGCAATATTTTCTTCAGTCCTCACTCTACGTCTGCGTGTTGGTGGTTTAATGTCCAATAATGTAAACTGGGTTCGAAATTTAGTCACAAGCTTCCGAATAGCTCCCTCAGTAGGCCGACCAAATTGCCCATAAATTGGAAGCAGTGCTCTTAACCGAGCATGAATTTTGATAGTAAAATTCAATAATTTGCAAGCGTTGTTCGTTCGTAAGTCGATTCATGGTTAAATTATAGACCAAACTGAACAAGTTTGACAATGTCACAAGACACGATTCACGCGTTATCTGTCAAAAACAGAGTTGCCAAAAAGATACTAGTAAAAAAATCACCAATTATAATAATTAATATTTGAGATGGCGAATTGAACGAATTTGTGTCTAAATCTCAAAAACAAAATATTCCTGAGAAATTAAAAAGTAGTGAAGTGAAAGTAATATAAATACAAGAGAAGTGGAAGCTAAGCATGTAGTGCAAGAATAGAATAAAGAAAATGGCTGGATAAACAATTCTATATATTTGGGATGGAATAGTCATAAATGCTACAAAATTTGTAGTGTTATAAATGATGGCGATTCGGACATCGAACTGAGAGGAGCAATTCTGTTGTAGTGTGTCCATACTGTAGTTACATGAAGGAAGCACGTAAAGCTGCAAGATACACTTGCAGTAATTGTAAATATCCTCGGACGTATTGAAGATCCCAAATCTTTCATATGACCTGTATTTGACAAAAACTGTTCAAGCTACTTGAATCAAATAGAAAAAGCCAAGGAATGAACATTTTTTTGAAAAATATCAGGAAAATATTTTTGTCAAAATGCTAAGGGATTGATATTTAATATCTAAGTGATATGTGATTTTTGTTATGTTCATGTTAATGTAACATTGTAGCTTATAGCTAAACACTCATTATAACCTATAATTTGAAATCTACTTTTAAACTCTTAATGTCTCATATATGGCACTGTAACTAACTACAGTAGCATATATTTGGCTACAGCGCCAAATATGAGGCACTAAACTTTTTTTCAAGGTAGATTTCTAATTAGTGCAGAGAGGAGAAATATAGCTGTGACAAATTCTCATAGATGACACTATGGTAACTCATTTTTTGGCTTTCAGTAGAACTATATACAAAGTTGTTTCATGCCTTTTAGTAATCATCATCATCATGATAGCTGTAAAGCGTGAAATAACGTTGTAAATTGAAGAATGAAGGCTTTCACGGCTCATTCTAATTTCATTTAGGTTTTTCGGGCTGTTGAGCCATGGTCGGATTGGATTTGATCCATAGCTTTCGGTTACATCTGCGGTAGCCATCTTCAGTGCCGCTGTCGGCGAGAGCGAAGTGCCCGGCTTGGCGGGTCGACCGAAACTGATTGGTCAACTGGATGGACGTGCGGTTTTATAGGCGATCGGCGGACTGAGAACTGAGCTGTCTGGTGGGGTACTCTGGGTCCCTTGAGTGACGTGGTTTTTGCGCTGTGTTTTTTAAAATTGGGAACCACGTTTTGTTTAAAGCAAGGTTTTCTTTTTTTCTATTGAAATTATCATTGTGTTTGTAGAATTCAATTGTTTCTCTGTACATTCGGGCTGGTGGGTGGATGTTGATAGGACTTCAGTTCATGTTCTGTTTCGTGGTGGGAAGAACACCCTGTATATTTTCAGAAATATACTGTAACTCCCTGGCAATGTTGACGCTAGGCAACCAGAGTTACGCGACCGAGCATGAGCGTTGCAGGCTTGGCCGAGGTTTAAGAATAATTGAGACCCGTCTAGAAGGACCGGTCGCCATCTACTGGCTTCGAGGACAGTTACAGTCGAGACAGTCAACGAACAGCGACCTACACGTTAACATAGTCCAGTCAATACGGCTATAAATTAGTAACAAGTAATATAAATTCGTGTAGAGTAATAAATTAGACTTTGGACAGTAGAAACGACGTTTTCGTTAAAATACTAATCTAGTTTTGAGTTATGATGGTTGGTGCTCGCCGCTATATATTTCTATTCCTAATTAAAACAGCAAAAAATCGCAGTTGGCCTCGTACATGAAAGAGAACGCATCAGATCGGTGCAACGTCAAGAGGTACACCGCATCGCTGGAACTTGTTGATCCAATAATCAGTTACCAGTAGATAGCACTTGTAGCAGTAGTGTTGGTACAACGGGATCGGCAAAAGGGTAAACAGTGGCCTAGTTGCCAACCGGCTTCCCACCATATGTACATGAAAGAGAACTGTCACAGGTGTCACACTTTATACTGACAGTAGTTCGTATTTCAGTATTTTTTTAGTTGTGCATTATCCTCAGAAGGTAGTAGATGCCCTTGACTCAAATGGTCTTCAAAACGCTTTTTTCATGCACCGTTTTCTACATCAGGCCTGACGCCAAAATTCTTACAAGTTCTTGAACTTTACAAGAAATATCAGATAAATATAATGGTACGATACGACACATAAACACTGATCCATGTTCTACACTGATCCAGACTCAGATGGCGGACATCCGTCAACTGTGGCGTTTTTGTACCTAGAAGCTACGATTCAGCGGTTTTTATGTTTTCGTATCATCTATTCATATAGGACTTCCTAATGTTTTAAAGGGCTCCAATGTACGTATCAATTAGGATTAGAAGCAGGTTACCTTAGTAGCTTCTGTCGCATTCAAACACTCTTCTTTGGTGAATATGGACATTATTTCCGGGTCCAGATCCGTCATGAGGATCTCTAACGTCTGATCGGCCTCGTCACAGGGTGCGTTGCCGATGTCCGGTAGGATCGTTTTCTTTGGAATGGGATTCAGCGTGTACAGGTACCAACAGTCTTTGTTCACGGCTCCTAGGCAGTACGCTGCGCCGTCTGGAAACAGAGTGTCCAACAGAGCTACCTGAAACAGGATAAAGTCACTTAGTTTTATATATCAATTCGTTTTGCATTAGTGTGAAGGAGATTGGATTCGGAAAAATGCCATGGTCACTTTCGCAATGGACATTTTTTATTCAACATTTTAGTGCAACAAAAAATTAATATGAAATGATTTTTTGCTTTTTCGATTTTATAACAGGATCCAATAAAATTCCTTCAAAATGTTTAAAATTATCTAAAATGTTATCATATCAAACCATCCTGATTAAATGTTATCATGGCCACAATAAATTATTTTGTTTCAAATTCAAATCTAGACTTACTTAAGGTCCACCATGCTACATTTTGGCGTTAGGTGTGGGGTTGCTAATATATATATTTAAAATTAGCAAAATTACACTACGAATGTAAAGGAGATTATTTCGGAGAAAGAAATGCACATTTTTTATTCATTATTTTAATGCAACAATAAATTAATATAAAATATGAAAGTAAAAAGTAAATAATTATTTATTCACAGTATTATACTTGACGTAAAACAAAACAGCAAACAGATCTGAATCAAGACGGTCACCCTAAGAAAACAAATAAAATACACTAAATATACGATGTAAACGCCCTATACCCCTAATTATAATGAGTTATATGCGATTTAAATTCAGAAAACTGCCAAAAATAGGAGTTTCCAATGCTTAAAAGCTAGGTAAAAAATCATTCTTAGCGATGCCCAATTTTTAAATTAAAGATCATATTTTGCCTGAAATAGCCCGCTAAGTATCAGTTTTAGGTTTAGTCTATTTTAAATCATTAGTTATTTTATTGTTATTTATATAATTGAGGCCGCCTACATCCACTGACGAGAGAAACTAGTAGAAGAAGCTATTGCCCACGCGCTCAATAGACTCTTGATCGGATTCTCATACGAATATTTGCAAGAAAGAATTGTAAAGCACAATTATTATGTGGTCCAACTGCGGCGTTAGTTCACTTATTTTTTAAATATGGACATTATTTTATCCAGTGGAATCATACCTAATTTTTTGACTTTCAGGAACCTACTTTAAATGGGTATGTCTCAATTGTGTGTATTAGACATGTGTCAAACATATATTTTCCAGAGACAATGATATGAATCTTTCCAATTCCCGCGCCGAGTAGCGCAACGAAGATTAGAATATAATCCGTCGCGACCTGGCTGTTGTCATCGCAGCTGTGATTAGATCGTAACGTTGCCAAATGGGTAGGGACTGAGGACTTATTGTATGGGCCTGTTTGAATGATTTCATCTATTTTGTTTAAGGGAGGCCTGTGCCGAGCATAATATTTTATCAACTGATGACAGCGTTGCGTGGGAAGTGAAGCTTCAACATACATGACGCCATTTTTCGCTCTAAAACAGTCAGTTTTAGTAAAAAAGCATTTGCGTCGTACGAAAAAAAAATTAATTCGTTTGAAAAAAATTTTCGAATACATTTGCAACCGGCATATGTTAAGGGGAATCCAACAAACGTGATCATGAAAAAAAAATATGTATATACATTTTTTCTACAAATGTGAGGATTTCGCCTCGTCTAAGTTGTTGAGATCCATATCGTCATGATACATAAAAACTGATATTCTGGGGTCAATCAAACCTTGATAAAAACATTATATTTAGCTATCTATCAATGGGCCTGCATGAGTGTATGCAACAATTTGGCATTTTCGATGGGTTTATCAGCCTTTTTATGCTGCATGCTTTTGCGGTGCAAAGCGCACGAGAGTGGATCGCCATGCTAAAAATATCTCGGTATTTGTGTACACATGTTTTACGGGCAAAAAATCATGATCAAGGTCAACTTTTACATATTATTACATAACAGATCCTAATACTGAAATATAGCTTACAAGATGAATCATTGCCCGCTCCATCATACAGTTCCTATATAGTTTTATATGTGATTTCATTTGATAAAAGTCAACTCACGAAGCATATACGCAAAAACAAATTTAAAATAAATTTCCACGAATAAAGATCAAAAATAAGTTGCAATTGATGCGTTTCACTATACAGGGGTTCCAGAAATAACACGCCAGAGTGTCACGGGAGGTAGATTGGCTTCAGATCAATCAGATAAAATCAACATCTCCTTAGTGATTTTGCCGCTTTTTCAAAAAATCGCTACATTTTGCTCCTTTTTCGCCTATTATGGCTATAAAAAACTTCTGATGATTTTTTTCCTGGACTACAATTAATAGTTGGTTGAGACAACCGAGTATTCATTTGTATTCAAATGTCTAAAACAGCTATCCATTATACTTTTTTATTATTGTTATATGCAGGCATCAAAATAATGAACAGAACATTAGGCTGTATTTTTTATTTCCATTGATTTGTCCAGCATTCAAATCAAATAAAGAATTGAAAATCATTATTAACATCTTAAATTAACTAAATGAAAATCAAATTAACATCTCGTAATATAAATCTTTCCTAAAATAAATGATTATTATTATCATTATCATTTTCACAACAGATTTCAAAATGTCTACCACCGAGTTTTATACAGAACCTGCATGTTCTTAAAAATTGTCCTTTTAACGTCTCAAATTTAAATCGGATATTTCGGGTGCTGCTTGACGAATTCGATGACGCAGTTCATCGGCTGATCGAACTGGTTTCCCATATACCTTATCTTTTAAACATCCCCAATAAAAAAATCTAGAGGGTTCAGGCCTGGTGGCGTGGGGGCCATAAAATTGGTCCTAGCCAGCCAGGGAAGGTTTCATCAAGAAACCCCCTTACTGCGCTAGCATAGCATCCATCATTCTGTAACCGCATCATTCTTCTTGTCTCAAGAGGCAGATCTTCCAAAAGAATTGGTAGTTGATTATACAAAAAATCTATGTAAATTTAAGTTTTTAAGATCCTTTGCCGATTCAGTCTGGTACATTTTTTTTTCACAGTAATTGGTCAAACTTTAGTAAAGGTTTTCACATTGAAACAAAATGTAATAATTTATTTTTTTCATCATACCGTGCTGGTTTTTACCGAAATGAATACTCGGTACAATATTGTAGGACGCCTTTATGGCATAATTGATTTTCGTAGTTTTCTACTGTTCCGTGTCAGCGCTCTATTTTGAGGTTATGTTACAAATATATATTTGCATCAAATTGTTCCTGCTCTTGATTTATATCAGCCTGAAATTTCCTACGATTAAAAAAAACACAAGTTCACAAGAGGAGAGCGCTGACGCTGACATGGAACAGTAGAAATCTAGAAATAATCCAGCCTTTCTGAAGTGGAGGAAAGACACGGGCCACTTTAGGTCTATTCAACATCATTAACAAGCAGAAAGAAGGTGGCAGAGAAAGACCTGTCGGCCGAGGCGGTACCACCCGCTAGCCTTTCTCAGGGTGTCTTATAAATGTCCGCATGTCTCCACGCCTAAGCTACGCAGTCGGTTATCTTCCTAAGCAAAGAAATTAATGATGATGGATCCCTCGAGTACTGAAAATTCTGGACGTAAACTCACTCCACTCTCAGAATGTCCGGGTGGAGGGTGGACTCGAGGGAACAACATCGATGATAAAATTTGTTTCATGAACATCTGCGGGATTAACAGCAACATTGATGCTGTTCGTCGCTACCGGCAATCTTATCGTCCCGAAATGCTTTTCTTGGCGGAGACAAACATCTCAGAGTCTGCACCGATCAGCTATATTAGCTTCCTAAATTACGAGGTGCACTAAAATCTGAGAAATAACGCGGGAGCTGTGGTTTTTGTCAGCAGGAGTGTTTCCTACTCCTCCAATCAGACCGGAAGGAAATTCTGTGGCTTCTCCTTAACTTCAAAATATCCCCCAAATTTGTTTGCTGCCTTTATCGCTCTCCCTCGAACCATAACTGGGATGACCTTCTTAAATACCTCGTAGTTAAGATCGACTTCCTGAACATCAAGCACCACGCTTCAGAGGTAGTTCTCGGTGATTTCACTGCCCATAATGAGCTTTGGTTTGGCCCAAACAAGACTGATGCAGCAGGTTCGTGCAGTTGAAGCGTTCGCTATTACCCTAAGGACTGAGCCAGATGGTGACCAGCCCTACTATTTTTTCGTCACGCGATGTGCGTCACTTTTATGGGATCACCAGCAAGCGTAAATGTCTTGGGAAGCGATCTGGCGTTACTGCCGCGTCTAATGCGTCGTGCCGTCTTGTATCGGGGAAAGGCGACGTTGCCAGATGTACTACCGGTACTACTAGGGAAACAATGTCTATGGACCTCTTTGACAGACTTTATCCGTCTAATTTCTCTGTTATATATGTTCGTAACTTGCTTCTTTTCAGAGGCTCCGACTTGTGCTGAGCACAATCCTTTATGTACAGATGATGTGAACAAATGACCTAATTACTCAAGATCCGCCCTTAAGCCTCCCCCCATAACTTTCTCGATGCGCCAGTGATTATCTTATCTCAAGAATTTCTAGACCTTCTTTGTTCTTACTTTATTTCTCATTCTCTTCTTTCTCACCAAACACGGTTGACACACGAACCACCTTACAAACCGGCATAACGAGTTAAGGTTCCAAAGAATGCCTTGATAATCAACGATGATTTGGCTTCCTAGATTCTTGAATTCCCAACATCATCCACTTCCTATCAAATATTACTGTACGCTATTTCATTTTCAAGCTTATCATTCCCGCAGCTAAAATGGAGTTTTTGAACTTTCCTCGTATACATAAATGTGTTTTGTTTTCGTAGCCTGTTTGCTGAATAAATAATTCCAAATGTCGTCGATCTGTAATTATATTTTTGCTTATGATAATACCTTTATCTTAGTCTTATCGCGGATATACGTTTCTCAATGGTTGTTTGTTGCAGAAAGGGTAACGATATGGAAGACGTTCCATAAAATAATCTCGATTACATAACCCAAGACCGGAAAAAAACTTTGGCTTTTCCACCGAGTGGCGTCAAATTGAAAATACAAATTCGGTATCTCCGAAACCCATGAAGGTTTGAAAGTTAAACCATTTC